GTTCTTCGTCAGCGGCAGACTTCATTTCGTTGTATATTTGCTCGTTGTTTTTTAATTCAGTTTGATATTTTTCATATAACTCTTTATATGTTTGAGACTCATCACGTAGATTAACAATTTCCTTTTCCTTATTTTCTAACTCAGTCCTAAAAAGCAATTGCAGTTAATAAAGTTAATACGTTAATTTTAATTTAATCAAAAAATAGTTTCAAACTTACTTCAATTTAACAATTTCGATGCCTTGATCACTTGCTTGGAAAACGGAGAGTTGGTCTTTCAATGTCTGAAGATCCTTCTTAAGCGTTTCTATTTGTGCTAAACGGTTTCGATTTTCCTCTTCTTGTTCAGTAATCTTGTTTTGCAATGTCTTGCCTGATTCAACGAACTTACTATGCTCTTCAGCCGATGTTTTTAGGGCATTAGAATATTTTTCGCTCATAGAAACAAGTTGCTCTTGCAAATTATCGCATTTTGCTTGCACAGCTAATAACTTTTCTTGAGCTTCTTTATATTCTTGGTCTATGCGCTCCTTCTCTTCAGACAATTTCTGTGAATTTCGTGCTAAATTTTCGGCTTCATCTTTTGATGCTATAAGATCGTCCATTTCTTTATTAATCCGTTTTTGTGATTCTTCCCATTTGATTTGCTGACAACTAAGATCATTCTTTAAATTTGAGAGTTCTGTATTTAAAATGGAGTTATCATCAATCGCCTGAAAAAGTAAAGAGTAAAGAAAAGAAATTAATAAAGAATTAGAATTAAATTACAATCTTTAATGAATAATAGTTAATATTGGTAATACTTTGGTCATTTGTTTTTCCAATTGTTCATTCAATTTTTGGACTTGTCTTAAAACTGATTTAGTAGTTTGGCACTCTTCATCTTTTAGATTTAAGTGTCCTTGAATAATCTGGTGTCGATCTATCAATTAATTACTCATGTTAATTATCTATTAAAGTCTCGTCTTGAAATTTCATTACAAGAAATGAAAATTCTTGAT